ACTACTACTACGACGGCTACTACTACTTCTACTACCACTACCACTACGACTGACTACTACTACTACTACTACTACTACTAACTACTAACAACTACTACTACTACTAATACTACTACTACCACTATACTACTACTACTACTACTTACTACTACTACTACTACTTACTACTACAACTACTACGATTACTACTACTACTACTACTAGCTACTACTACACACTACTACGACTACGACTACGACTACTGATACTACCCTACGACCAGCTACTACTACTACTACTACAACTACCACTACTACTACTACTACTAACTACTACTACTAACTACTACTACTACTAACAGACACCACCTACTACTACTACTACTACTACTACTACGCTTACTACTACTACTACTACTACTTACTACTACTACTTGTACTACAACTTGACTACTACTACTAACTACACTACTACTACTACTACTACGACTACTACTACTACTAACTACAACTACTACTACTAACTACTACGTTACTATTCTACTACGACTACTACTGCTAAACGACTACTACTACTACTACTACTACTACTACTACTACTACTACTACTACTATTACTACGACTACTAGAACTTCTACTACGACTGTTACCACTACTAGTACAAGAACAACTACTATTAATAATACCCTACGACCACTGCTACTACTACTTCTACTACTATTACTACTACGACTACTACTACTACTACTACTACTACTACTACTACGACGGCTACTACTACTTCTACTACTTTCTACTCACGGCTTCCTATTTACGACTTACTATTCTCACGACTACTACTACCGCTACAACTGCTACTACTACTACTACTACTACTACTACTACTACTTACTACTACTACTACTAACTACTAACTAACTACTACTACTACTACTAACTAATTACTACTACTACACTACTACGACTACTACGACTACTACTACTACTACTACTACTACTACTACTACTACTACTACTACTACTACTACTACTGCTACTACTACTACTACTACTACTACTACTACTACTACTACTACTACTACTACTACTATTCCTACTCCTACTACGACGACTACTACTATTATTATTACTACTACTACTACTACTACTACGACTACTACTACTACTACTAATAATAATAATAATACTACGACTACTACTACGACTACTACGACTACTACTACTACTACTACTACTACTACTACTACCACTACTACTACTACTACTGCTGCTGCTGCTGCTGCTGCTGCTGCTACTGCTACTACTACTACTATTATTACTACTACTACTACTACTACTACTACTACTACTACTACTACTACTACTACTACTACTACTACTACTACTACTACTACTACCCCCCTTCGTTTTACATCTTCCTCCTCGTCCTCTTTCTCCTCATCCTCCTCCTCCTCCTCATTCTCCTCCTCCTCGTCCATCCTCGCTCCCCTCTCGCTCCCGCCATCATCCTCCCCGCTCTTCCTCCTCCTCCAACGGGACAGGCCTTTGTGCCCACCAACCCGTCCTTCGGCGGCGGCAGGCCCTCGCAGGGCATGGGCGCCTTCCGCTCCGGCGGGCCGGTCAGGCCTCGGGGGCGCCAACACCGCACGTTGCGCACAGATCCTGGCCAGGCCCTCCCAGGACTCAGGACCAGCGTGCGTCGAAGAAGGAAAAGCGACAGCGCCATCTCAGGTCCTGGCGGCCAGGGTCTGGCCGCTCCACAGAGCGCCAGCCTGCAGATCCGCCTCCGTGACCCCCCCCTCTCGACGCAGACTCTTGCGTGCACCGCCCCTCCTTTCGAAGGTCTGCACGGATTTCTTGGATCCGCGTGGCCCCCGTGGCGGCGCCTCGGGCGCCGCCCCTGGCGCGCTCCGCGCGCCAGGGAGGGGGCCCAGTGCAGATCCAAGACATTCGGGCGGACCTCTGCCAGTTTATGTTTGCGCACTTGTTTCGTCCTTTTGATATGTGTGCACACCTCCTATCACCTCTCGCCACCCCTCCCCTCCCAGAGGCCCAGAATGGCGAGGGAGGGGGGAAAATTCATGACGTCCCCCCAAAAACAACGACCCCCTCGAGAGGCCCAAACATACAGTCAACAAGCTGAAATAGGAACCATGTTGTACTCAGGAGGCGTTATGCTATGATATTTTTTGGCGCTCCTTAGGTGTAGGCCACGGACCCTATGCGTGGCCGAGGCACAAGGGTGCCGGGGGGGGCATGCTCGTTTCTTTTTCCAGCTTTCCTGATGGTGACACGACGACTGTAGGCCAAAGCATGCAGAACCTCGATCCTCCTCCAGTTGGCGCCTTCCTGTTGGTGTACGGTTGGCTTCCTCCTGCCAGGGCCAAGGCCGACCTCGTGGGCGACACCCCGCAGAGGCGGATTTCGCCGCCGCCGTCGCTGCCGCAACCACCGTTGTCGTGGTCGCCGCCGTCGCCTCGACTACGACTACGACTACGACGACGACGACGACGACGACGACGATCGACGAGCAGCCCTCGATCGATCGAGATCTTCCTCGATCAACGACGATCCTCACACCCATGCGGCTTCCTCTCTCGCCGCCGCCGCCGCCGTCGTCGTCGTAGTCGTCGTAGTCGTCGTCGTCGCCGCCGCTGTCTTCGGCGTCGTCGTCGTCGTCGTCGTCGCCGTCTTCGTCGTCGTCGTCGTCGCCGTCGTCGCCGTCGTGCGTGCGACCCCGAAGCCGAGGCGGCCGCGGCCGCAGACCGCGCCGTCGCAGCGGCCCGCCAGCGGGAGCCGGCCGGCCTCGCCGCTTGGCCAGCAGCGGCCGCGAGGGGCAGCCCAAAAGCCTGTTGGCTGCGCGTAAGTGTGGCCTGTCGCCTGAGGGACTTCCTCCTCCTCCTCCTCCTCCTCCTCCTCCTCCTCCTCCGCCTCCTCCTCCTCCTCCTCCTCCTCCTCCTCCTCTCGGCTGCACTCGCGACCACAGCGACTACTGCAGCAGGCTATTACCGCTCCGGCCCACCCTGACCACCTCTCGCACACCATCGCCAAGAGGCTCACTGCATGGTTCGGTCCTGATGTGGTTCCGCGCGACCTTCAACAGCGCTGGCTGCGGCTTCGTGGACATCTTTGTGATATCTCGGCGGCCTGGAGGTGGGCGGTACTCAAGACTGTTTGTGGCGGGTGGCACACGTCGCACAGAATGCACGTGCGGCCAGATCGTGGATGCTGTGTGTTGGGGTGCTTGGAGCCCGACGCCATTGGTCATTATCTGGTCTGCCCACGACTGCCACACCTGATTTAACTCCCAAGGACCTTCACCCACGCGTCTCCGCTGTCGCGCATTGGACCTCGGTTCGACTGGCGACCACCCCGACGATCCTAGGCATGAGCTGTCGCTACATAGCAATGCTTCACGACTTGTGCTGACTTACTACATCGTGTTTGGGTTGCGTCACGTCTTGCCGTCTGACGGAGGTGTCCACACTTATGACTTCCATCTGCGCGCGCTTCGTGCAGAACGTGATCGACTCCGCCATGGTGATCTCCCTGCCGAACTCCCAGCCAATGCCCCACCCGACGCCCAGACCCACTCGCACCATGACGCCCCTTCCCTGCCGCACCCAACCCTACCCAGCGACATTCTCCCCGACGCCCGCGCTGCCGTCCCATCTCACGTGACCCCGTCACCCTGCCCAGCCGCCTCTCACGACGCCCACCCCCACACCCCTTCCGAGACCCCACCCTTCCGAGACCCCACCCGACCCCCACGTTGACGTTCTATTTGTTGCACGCCCCGCCGATCATAGTGTGGTTGCCTCCTCCATGGATGACGTCGGGTGCCCTGTATACGACGACATGCTTGGACGTTCTGCTGCCGAGCCTACGTCATCTCTTGCCGCCCTGCGTGGCCACGATTACAATAACATGATCAACGCACCACTTCAATGCTCTTCCTGGTGTAGTCCTGGACCTCCTGGAGTTCTTCACTACTTACATCAATTGCCCACCCTAGAGGGTGAGACGGCTTCTTCGTACACGATCCGCTGCAATGAAGATGCGCAGACAACGGATCCGCTGGTGTCCAGTACTGTCGACGCGCTGGCCTCCGACACGTTGGACACCGTCCTCCACGAGACCTTGCACTCCAACACGCTGAGCGACAGCGACGACGTCCCCATGGCGTTCAGCCCGCTCGGACTGAACAAGTAAGGCGCCCCCGCCCGCGCTGCCGCGGCGGCGATGCGCGCAGGAAGGATTCGCCCCTCTGGCCACTGCTGCTCATCCTACTCCTCCTCCTCCTCCTCCTCCTCCTCCTCCTCCTCCTCCTCCTCCTCCTCCTCCTCCTCGTCTTCGTCCTCGTCGTACTCATTATCCTCGTCCTCCTCCTCCTCCTGCGCTTCCTCCTCCTCCTCCTCCTCCTCCCCGAAGCCACAAACAAAAAATCTGGCAGAAGGCTGAAGGCCTTCTGAGAAGCCCCGCCGCCTTCTGAGAAGGCCCTCTCCTTTTTTTTGTCCCCACCTCGCTCGCCGCTGGGGCACACTGGGATCCCCAGATGGCTGCATGCGATGCGATAGCAGCGCTCTGCTCGCTCGGAATTGTCCTCCCCGCGGCCCACCGAAAGCCTCGCGCCAAAGATCACTCCTGTCTGGGGTCACTCGTGCGTGCAGTGGTAATCTTCCACACCTCGAGGATCAAGGAGGGGAGGGAGGGCAGAGGATCGAGGTGGAGAGGCTCTTCGAGTGGCAGAGGGATGATGATGCTGATGATGATGATGATGATGATGATGATGATGATGACCCACGCATCCAAGAAGGTCTGGAGCTCCCCGCTCGATACAGCCTCCCGAAGCCATGGCCTTTCCCTCTGGCGCTGCGGACGCAAGGCCTGGCCCGTGCCCAAGGCACACTCGCAGACTCGCCTGAAAACTAGAGGCCACGCCATCCGCCTCGGCCGAGGCAAGCGGAAGGCAGGGCATCGAGCATTCACGGCAACTCAGCTTGCTGGCTCGAGGTGCTACAGCAACGCAAACCTCCCGCTGGCTCCTGGCCACAGACAGGGACTGGTTTGCAATGCGGTGGCCTTCGGAGGCAACCATGGCGGTGTGCGAACCTGCCACCACGGTCCAGCCTCCGACTGGCGGCACAGAGCAGAGCAAGCTGGGGCGCAAGAAGCGCTGGCCGTCGCGGCAAGCGCGCCAGCCTCTACATTAAACGGAGCGCTCCAGTGCGTGGAAACCTACGCACCTGGTTCAGCTTCCGCTCGAGCGAGAGCCGTGCAATGGCACGAGCTAGCTCAAGAGCGGGACACGAGCGCCGAGCGAAAGGCGGCCTAGCCACCAGCATCGCAGCGTCCAAGGGGACGTAACGTTGCCGCTGGCAGCAGAGCCCGATCCCGAGCGAGGGAAATCCTACGCTCCTGGTTCAGCCTCCGCTCAAGCGCGGGGACAGAGCAGCACAGAACAAACGGAGCCCGATCCCGTGCGTGGGCGAACCTACGCACCTGGTTCAGCTTCCGCTGTGCGAGCCAGGCAAGGCACAGAGCGCGCCCGACTAAGCACCGTGCGGAAGCGGATGCACCTCGCCACCAACATCGCAGCGGGTCCTGGCCAGATGCCGACCAGCTGCGTTGCCGCTGGCAGCCGAGCCCGATCCCATGCGTGTGGAAACCCCTACGCACTGGGTTCAGCCTCAGCACTGGAACGAGCAACGCGGCAAAGAGCCTAGCCACCATCGACGCGCCTGCGCATGCGCCGCAGCGGCTCAGGGTCACCGATGCCCCCCGTCCCAGCGGGCTGCAGGCCACGCTTCAGCCTGCTGAGCACCGCCTTCTGCCTGTCGTTCTTGGGGGCCTTCGGGCACTCCGCTGCCAAGCCCGCCATCCTGCGGCTCTGCGTCCAGTAGCCGCACTTCACACAGAAGAGGTGGTTGCCAGCCCGCCACAGGTCGTGGGAGCCGTGAGCGTCGACTCCCCACCACGGCGGGAGCTGCGGCGGCGGCGGCGGCGGGGGCCCGCCACCGGCCCCAGAAGGGCCCTCCGACGTCGGTGGGCTGCCCCGCTGGCCGCCGCCAGGCGCGCCGCTGCCGTCTCGCCCTGCACGCGCCTCGTCTCCTTCCACCTGTGCTGGTGCATCGCTGGCCTGACTGCGGGACAGCAGCGCCGCGCCCGCCGAGAGGAGCGCCGCGGCTGCAGCAACCGAGCCGCCACTGCTGTCGGCCCCTGAGGCCCAGGAGCCCGCGAGCGCGTCGCCCCTGCCCGCGCACTGCTGGCAGGCCCAGACCGTGTCGCCGTCGACGTCCAGCCACGTCCCGTGCCGCCCGCACGCGCGCTGCGGGCAGTCGGGGAAACTGCAGTGAGCTCGCCATCGCAGCTTGCAGCCGCGCCAATCGCACCGAACTGCTTCCATGCCTGGGCCCTCATGCCCGTCCGCTGCTGTGAGCTCGGCGTCGCCGTCCTGCATCGCCGCACCCAGCCAGCAGAAGACCTTCTTGACGAGACGGTCCTGCCTGCGGCTCCTGTCTCGCACGTCGTCGTCGCTGGGATGCATCTGCGCGCCTTGCACGGCACGGGCATCGGCGCTGTGATTGCCCCGCCGCTGCCAAGCCGTGATGCGCTCCGCCTGCACGTCCGCCAGCGTGGCGTGCGCTTTCACCTTGTGGATGGTGACGCTGTCGACCCCCACGTCGTCGAGGGCCGCCCAGAACCGCACCCACAGCTCGCGGCAAGGCCGCTGCCACTGCAGGCACCACGCCTTGCCCGCCGCGAAGCCGTCCACGAGCAGCTGGCAGTCAGTGAAGATCCGCACAGGTGGTAAACAGCTCTGGATGCCCTCGATGGCCGCCGCGAGCTCCGCTGCCCCTGACTCTTGGGGGTACGGCCAGGGGAGCGGGCCGAAGAGGCTGACTGCCTCGCTGTCGGGCCCCATGACGACGACCGCCCAGCCGCCGCGCGCCGAGACGAGGCTGGGGTCCAGAACGCCCCCGTCCGTGAAGAGGTCGCCCGAGAGCGGCTGCCCCACCAAGTCGGCACGGCCCTCCTTCCGCGCCTCCCTGGTGTCCGTGGGCGGTGGCAGGGTCCTTCGGCGCTCGGGCGCCAGAGCGCGGGACCAGAGCGGGTCCTCCTCGCCCCCGATGCTGGCCATACCGGCGATGGTGCGAAAGGGGATGTCGCCAGGGGGGCGCCGCTCGTCCGCCTCCTCGTTGGAGATCCACTCGGCGCGGCTCGCCTCGGTGGCAGGGCACTGCCACGCTAGGTGCCGCACGGTGCCGTCCCCTGGGGCGTCCCCTGGGGCACCAAGGAGAGGAGGCCAATGGGCGCTCCTCAAAGAAGCGCCGCGCCACGGGCCAGAGACATCCGACCAGCGCGTTCTTGGCCGAGCTCATCTGCTTGGCCCTCTGCTTGCTCATGCGCTCGCGTGCAAGTGTGCGCCTGATGCTGGCCAGGGCGCCCCCATCGCGCAGATGCTCCAGCCCAGGGTGCTTGCTCGCTGCTCGCCACAGCGCCCTCTCGTGGCCCGCGGCGATGTGCTTGGCGAGCGTGGAGGCCCCCAGGGTCCGTAGGTCCAGCGGCTGCTGCTTGTCGTTGGTGAGCAGCCCTGGCAGTGTGGCGGTCCAGCCCAGGCGGTGGCAGGCTAACACGCACGCAGCAGCTGGCCCGCGTCCAGCCAACGCCTCAGGCCCGCCACTGGCCAGCAACGTCCTGGCCCCCGCGAAAGCGCTGCCCATGGCCCTCAGGCCCCTACCATCTGAGTTGAACTGCACCGCCTTGGCCCATGCGACAATGGGCAGCGACACGCGGTCGTACAGCGGGTCGCTGTGCAGACGCTT